CCCCCCACCAGGGGAAATGGGTGTTCAGCCCGGCCAGAGACACCATGTTGTAGGTGGGAGCTGCTCCAGATGGGCCCACTGTGCCGCAGGTGAGAAGCTGCTCCTGTTGGGTCCAACCTTCCAGTCAACTTGCTACTGGCTAAGTTTGCCAGTAAGGCTAATGCTTACTGGGTAACTGGTTAACTGGTTAGCCTTTTTCATCCCAAGTGTGTGTCTATATGTTCACTAGGAAGTGAGCTTGTTTCTATTCCCCTTTCCCCCAGCCTTGGACCTAGATGATCTTTATAATATTGTTTTGAACTGAACATGCTCTTTATCCAAGGATCTGAGAGCACTTTTACAAATCTGAATGAACTAAGCCTCTTGTGAGGTAGGCAAGTAGTTATACTGAAGCATATTCTCACCAGCAACTACACACCACACCATAAGAACTCGAACTCAGGAACCAATCGTTGCAACGAACCTCGGTGCCAACTCTGCCCACATATATACACCAGCAACACCATCACAGGACCTAACCAGATCAGACATACTGTCACTAGTACATTCTCCTGCACATCTACCAACATAATATATGCCATCATGTGCCAACAATGCCCCACTGCTATATACATCGGCCAAACTGGACAGTCCCTATGTAAAAGAATCAATGGACACAAATCTGATATTAGGAATGGCAACATACAAAAACCTGTAGGGGAACACTTCAATCTTCCTGGACACACAATTGCAGATCTAAAAGTAGCCATCCTGCAGCAAAAAAACTTCAGGACCAGACCTCAAAGAGAAACTGCTGAGCTACAGTTCATCTTTAAGTTTGACAGAATCAACTCTGGATTAAACAAAGACTGTGAATGGCTAGCTAACTACAAAAGCAGCTTCTGCTCTCTTGGAATTCACACCTCCAGATCCGCTGCTAGACGTGGGCCTCACCCTTCTTGATTGGATTCACCTCGTCATCTCCAGCCTGATCCTGGCCTGCATATTTATTCCTGCCTCTGGAAATTTCCACTACATGCATCTGATGAAGTGGGTCTTTGCCCACGAAAGCTTATGCTCCTACACTTCAGTTAGTCTATAAGGTGCCACAGGACTCCTCGTCACTTGGGCAAGCCATTCTTCACTTAGTTGTATCCAACTAAAACAGTGTTTCTCAACCAGTGATATGCGAACCCTTAGGGGTATATGCAAGAGAAGTCCAGGGAGTAGGTCAACACAAGTGAAATTTGGCAAAGAATTTGGTGGCATGTGCCTGTCAAATTGAATGTTTGAAGCTGAGCACCTGGAAATTAACAGCCACTCTGTGCACACGCCCCAGCGTCTGTCAGGAAAAGTGCATGGCTGCAGCGGCTCCGGTGAAACCCAGGGCACTTCCAAGTGGGGGGCGGGTTTGGGCAGGAGGGAAAAAAAATCACTTCCATGGCCATCTCTCCTAGTTCATTTCCTCTCTGGCAGCCTTCCCAGTGTGCTCCAGCGGGAAGGGTAGCTGAACCTGGAGGCGCATTCCCGGCAGCAGCTCAGTATAACTTATCTCCATCACCCCTTCCCTGTGGTGCTGTGGAGAGGAGCTAAAAGGTGGTGAAGAGGCACAATAAGCTTTTTTCCAAAGGGCCCCCCCCATTAGTGGCCTAGTGAAGAGGGGTGGGGGGGGCAGTTGCTCCCAGGCACCACGCTCGGAGGAGCTGGGCTGGGGTGGGAGCGCACAGTCCCATGCAGCAAGCCCGGCGCTGGTGACCACTTGCTCCCTGCAGACAAGCCGCCGAGGCAGAGCCAGGTGGCGGGAGTGGGCACTTTGAAGGTAGAATTACGAAACATCCGGTGCTTGTCTCTGGGGGAGGGGTGGGTGTATTGGGTTACAGCAGGGGTGCTGGAGTGCCTGGCTCTTGGGGAGGGGGAGAGCATTGGGTTAAAGCATGGGGGATAGAGGTGCCTGGCTACTTTTTTTTTTTTTTAAAGGAGGTACTTTATTTTAAAAAAGGTTGAGAAACACTGAACTCAACCATAACTAAGGCATGTGCAAGCTTTTCATCTTAATTCTATAAAGGTTTCATATCAGTCAAGGAATAGCTTTGACCAATTATTGGACAAACTTGTTCTCGTTTCTACAAAGAAAATTGTACTGTTTAGATATTGCTTCACTAACATTCCCTTGCTGCTGGTACCAAAATGTCCTTTTCCTACCAATATGTTACTGATTAAAGTCATGAATTAAAATTAAGAATAAACAGGATGGACCACAAACACATCCATCTATTCTTGCTTCTAAATTAACTTAAATAATTAAAAACAACAACCCTGGGATATAGTAGGCATTTAAAAACAGAAACAGTGCAAACATTTTGAAAGGGTTCTTATAGTTTTGTCTGCTTGTGAAAGAAATTAGAGGTTTCTGAAAAGCTCCTGTTTGATGTGATAGAATAATCTCGCATTAAGAAAATTTTACTTACTCAAAATGCTCTATTAACATTTTCTGATACAAAGTTAAGATTTATTTACTAAACAAATAATTTTCTTCTTCTAAAAAAAAAAAAAGCTACAATTTAGGAACCACAACTGCAAAAAATGACAGATTAGCAAGAATCCTAAAACCCAATCAGCCTAAAAAAAATCAGACCACATCAAATACAGTTTTAAAATTAGTAATATGAAAAAGACCACTTTACCTTCCCTTCTCAACAAGCAGCAGGACATCTATTTTTTCTCCATTTTGAATCAAACCGCTGATTGCTGAAAATAAAACATAATAACATTTTCCTCTTGGAAAATATGTGAAACAGATTTTGAAAAGGCCAAAGGAACATGGAGCTCATCAAAATGTTTTATATTTAGCATGCATTTCAAAAAAGAGAATATATAGCCATTTATTAAAGCATAAAGACAGAAACTACAATGGATCACAAGCATATATCAAGAAAAACAACTTGAATAACAACAGAATAAAAATAAGCAGATGCACACCTCACTTTTGTGATTATCAAATTTCCCTTAACCTGGAAAAATGCAATATTATAGTACTGTAAAGGCTCAGAAATTAACTGGATTCTGAAACCAGCCAGTTTGCTTGAATTCTAATGACTATGAATATTTACAATTCATATTATACAAGAAAATTCATTAGTGTTGTGCGAAGACCATTTCCACTTTTGATTATGTTGATCTAACATTGTGTATGTCTATATAGGTAGACACCTGTCTATCTAAAAGTATAGAAAAAAAATTGTATATAACATACGCTACTATATTTTTATAAGGAATATTATCAAATAAGTAAAAAGTATAAAACACTCAAAAATGATTCAACTGAGTTTTACCCACCTACAAATTAGCTTTCTGAATAGGTAATCTCTTTGATTCTACAGAGTATCTTTATGTTGCCAACTACCTCAAGAGATGGCAACATTTTGAATTTCAATCAAGTTCAAAAAGTGTTTCCTGGTGAATGTATCAAATGCCAGTAGCTTCCATTTTTGTGTGACATATACAGGCAGTCCCCGGGTTACGTACAAGATAGGGACTGTAGGTTTGTTCTTAAGTTGAATTTGTATGTAATTCGGAACTGGTACATATTGTAGGGGAAACTCTAGCCAAACATTCCTCCAGAGCTCAGTTTTATTCTTCCACACCTCACTTCCCTCAGTCCTTTATTCTCAAGCTGAGGTGTCTGCTGAGAAAAGCCGCTCCACGTCTCCCTGGTCTGCTGGGTGGGGCGCTAGCTTCGTGTCTCCCTGGTCTGCTAGGGAGAAAAGCAGCTAGTGCGGGGTTGCCTCACCCCGTTTGTAAGTAGGGATCCGATGTAAGTCGGATCCATGTAACCCGGGGACTGCCTGTATATAATGCATCATTTAAATTCACTGTTACTTGAACACAAGGAAGGTAGACGAAAGTGCGGGAAGTGACTCTGAAAATTCATTATTTTGCAAACATCAATTACCAATATATAATTTATCTTCCTCATTACTGGAAGAGACCCTTACTTTTTGACAATTGAAATGTCAGAATCTAAGGAAGATGGACAGTCTGGGTGCCCAGAAATTCAGAAAGAATGCCATGCAGCAAGCCCGGCGCTGGTGACCACTTGCTCCCTGCAGACAAGCCGCCGAGGCAGAGCCAGGTGGCGGGAGTGGGCACTTTGAAGGTAGAATTACGAAACATCCGGTGCTTGTCTCTGGGGGAGGGGTGGGTGTATTGGGTTACAGCAGGGGTGCTGGAGTGCCTGGCTCTTGGGGAGGGGGAGAGCATTGGGTTAAAGCATGGGGGATAGAGGTGCCTGGCTACTTTTTTTTTTTTTTAAAGGAGGTACTTTATTTTAAAAAAGGTTGAGAAACACTGAACTCAACCATAACTAAGGCATGTGCAAGCTTTTCATCTTAATTCTATAAAGGTTTCATATCAGTCAAGGAATAGCTTTGACCAATTATTGGACAAACTTGTTCTCGTTTCTACAAAGAAAATTGTACTGTTTAGATATTGCTTCACTAACATTCCCTTGCTGCTGGTACCAAAATGTCCTTTTCCTACCAATATGTTACTGATTAAAGTCATGAATTAAAATTAAGAATAAACAGGATGGACCACAAACACATCCATCTATTCTTGCTTCTAAATTAACTTAAATAATTAAAAACAACAACCCTGGGATATAGTAGGCATTTAAAAACAGAAACAGTGCAAACATTTTGAAAGGGTTCTTATAGTTTTGTCTGCTTGTGAAAGAAATTAGAGGTTTCTGAAAAGCTCCTGTTTGATGTGATAGAATAATCTCGCATTAAGAAAATTTTACTTACTCAAAATGCTCTATTAACATTTTCTGATACAAAGTTAAGATTTATTTACTAAACAAATAATTTTCTTCTTCTAAAAAAAAAAAAAGCTACAATTTAGGAACCACAACTGCAAAAAATGACAGATTAGCAAGAATCCTAAAACCCAATCAGCCTAAAAAAAATCAGACCACATCAAATACAGTTTTAAAATTAGTAATATGAAAAAGACCACTTTACCTTCCCTTCTCAACAAGCAGCAGGACATCTATTTTTTCTCCATTTTGAATCAAACCGCTGATTGCTGAAAATAAAACATAATAACATTTTCCTCTTGGAAAATATGTGAAACAGATTTTGAAAAGGCCAAAGGAACATGGAGCTCATCAAAATGTTTTATATTTAGCATGCATTTCAAAAAAGAGAATATATAGCCATTTATTAAAGCATAAAGACAGAAACTACAATGGATCACAAGCATATATCAAGAAAAACAACTTGAATAACAACAGAATAAAAATAAGCAGATGCACACCTCACTTTTGTGATTATCAAATTTCCCTTAACCTGGAAAAATGCAATATTATAGTACTGTAAAGGCTCAGAAATTAACTGGATTCTGAAACCAGCCAGTTTGCTTGAATTCTAATGACTATGAATATTTACAATTCATATTATACAAGAAAATTCATTAGTGTTGTGCGAAGACCATTTCCACTTTTGATTATGTTGATCTAACATTGTGTATGTCTATATAGGTAGACACCTGTCTATCTAAAAGTATAGAAAAAAAATTGTATATAACATACGCTACTATATTTTTATAAGGAATATTATCAAATAAGTAAAAAGTATAAAACACTCAAAAATGATTCAACTGAGTTTTACCCACCTACAAATTAGCTTTCTGAATAGGTAATCTCTTTGATTCTACAGAGTATCTTTATGTTGCCAACTACCTCAAGAGATGGCAACATTTTGAATTTCAATCAAGTTCAAAAAGTGTTTCCTGGTGAATGTATCAAATGCCAGTAGCTTCCATTTTTGTGTGACATATACAGGCAGTCCCCGGGTTACGTACAAGATAGGGACTGTAGGTTTGTTCTTAAGTTGAATTTGTATGTAATTCGGAACTGGTACATATTGTAGGGGAAACTCTAGCCAAACATTCCTCCAGAGCTCAGTTTTATTCTTCCACACCTCACTTCCCTCAGTCCTTTATTCTCAAGCTGAGGTGTCTGCTGAGAAAAGCCGCTCCACGTCTCCCTGGTCTGCTGGGTGGGGCGCTAGCTTCGTGTCTCCCTGGTCTGCTAGGGAGAAAAGCAGCTAGTGCGGGGTTGCCTCACCCCGTTTGTAAGTAGGGATCCGATGTAAGTCGGATCCATGTAACCCGGGGACTGCCTGTATATAATGCATCATTTAAATTCACTGTTACTTGAACACAAGGAAGGTAGACGAAAGTGCGGGAAGTGACTCTGAAAATTCATTATTTTGCAAACATCAATTACCAATATATAATTTATCTTCCTCATTACTGGAAGAGACCCTTACTTTTTGACAATTGAAATGTCAGAATCTAAGGAAGATGGACAGTCTGGGTGCCCAGAAATTCAGAAAGAATGTTACTAGATTAAAGGAAGATGTCCATTCCATCATCAGTACTAAAGCATAAGGACCAATTTTCAAAAATTAGGTCTCTGTGCATCTTTGCAAATGCTTAGCCAAGAAAAACTGAAATTCTGAATTTTCATACAATTAAGAGGGTGCCTATCTAGCCATACAGGCTAACCAAGTCCCCAATGCAATTGCTTCATATTTTGATATCCACGGACCTGAAAATTGTAAGTCAGTCCCAGAAAGTATTCCAAGAATTAAATGAAATCTGGAGATATGTGAATTCATGAAAATAGGAGCCTTTCATGGTACTGATATGGATATTAATGGACATTAAGAGGTCTGCTGGCTTTTAACAGAGTTCTTGCTTCAATTGCAAAATGGTCTCAGATATAGAGGCTGTAAGGATGGACAGAAATACAAATATAAAAGAATAATTACATCTATAAAGAACTATACATAAAGAAATAACTGAATTTATGAAAATGATCATTTCTAACCTTTATTTCTCCCCACTTCATAAACCATACTGGCCTGCTCTGCAGAATTACAATTAGGGTGCATAAAGCTAAACAAGGCCAGAAAATCTAATTACTCTACAGGTTGTACCTCCCTGTAAGGAATCCTTGGAACATGACTGGTCCCAAACAAAGGGATTTGCCCAAATATGGAAGGTCCCTCCCAACATGACCTGTGCTGCCTCCAGCTAGGACTCCAGCCAAGCCCCGCTGCTGCCTGTCTGGACATGGCTCCCCAGGCTGGAGTTCTGTGGCTGCGGGGGCTCTGTGGCTTCTCGGATTGCTGGGGTTCTGCGGCTTCGGGGACTGCCACAACTCTGGGACTTCTGGGACTCCGTGGCTTCTGGGAGTCTGCAGCCACTGCTGGCCCCCTGCTATTGTCCGGGAGCAGGGGTGAGAACCCTTTGATGTGCCTCCCTCAGCATGGGACACCTGGCTGAGTCACACCCCTCTTCCCCCACTCCTGCCCTGCAACCCAGCCTCCTCCTGCCTGGACTCTGT